TTAACGGGGAGGGAAGGTTTCTTAGCCTTACTTGCAATATATTAAAGGAGAAAAATCATTTGACTTAACAATGCAGAAAAGCATTTGATATAATTCAATATTTATTCAAGACAAAATAAACGTTGAGGAAACTAAAAACAGAAGAGCTTCCTTATGCTGATGAGAAAACCTCCAGCAAATGGTGACATATTGAAAGCATTTTAATATCAGTGATAAGACAAAAATGCCTGAAGTCAACATTTCTACTGGTGAGCCTAGCCAATGTAGTTAGGAAAGAAAAATAAATGATATTAGACAGGAAGAAGTAAGACTTTTATAATGCAAATATGATATAATTCAAATAGAAAACCCCCAAAACCCTGCAAGTAAGTGATTAGAATTCATAGTTTCACAAGTCTGTTCCTTAGATGTGTATATAACCCCTAACCCAAGGACAAAACATTGAATTTTTAAAAATCTTTTATAATTAAGCATCTTGAATTAAATATGTGAGGGTCATTATTCATACACAAACAGCCTCTTTTTAACATAGGATGTACAAGTGTGAGAGCGTGCATGGATGTATAGAATTGGGTATTCAGACAGAGTAGCTCTGGGACATACATAGAGATTTGTTCGGAAGAATTTTAAAGTTGTTATTTAATGTTCTAACGTTTAAGTCATGGGGATGAAAGGTACAGCATAGGGAATATAATCAATGGTACTGTAACAGTGTTGTATGGGGATAGATGGTAACCACACTTGTGGTGAGCATAGCATAATGTATAAACTTGTCGAATCACTCTATTGTACACCAGAAAACTAATGTAACATTGTGCGTCAACTGTTCTTCAATTTAAAAAAATTTAAAAACTGGACTTCTTTGTTTTTGTAATTTATTTCTTCCTCTAAAAAACAAAGTCAACAATTAGGCTTAAAAAGGCTAAAATTTGATTATAATTTTGAAATGTTATATTTTGCTTCAGGGATATTCTGATACTAAGATTAGGTTACATTAAAAAAAAATTAATGCTTATTTATTTTTGAGAGAAAGACAGAATGCAAGTGCGGGCACAGAGAGGGAGACACAGAATCTGAAGCAGGCTCCAGGCTCTGAGCTGCCAACTGTCAGCACAGAGCCCGACGTGGGACTTGAACCCATGAACCGCCAGATTATGACCTAAGCCAAAGTCAGATGTTTAAATGAGCCACCCAGGTGCCCCAAGATTAGGTTACATTTAAACAGTGAGATGAAGTTTTTGAGAACAGAAATATATTAAGAAAATTTACAAACTTAAAGATTTCATAAAGCTGATCAATTTATGAGAAATTAGTATTAACAGTGACATAATGCAGTTAAGAGCTTCCTGGACAAAGCAGACAAAGACTTGTATTCTCCTTCACAGTGTATCAGTGGGAGAACTTTCTGTTTCCTCATCTGTAAAATGAAAAAGTTGAATTGGATCCTGAGATCCCTTACAGATTTTAAATTGTTTCTAGATCCTTGAATAACCAAATTGATCAGGGTATAAAATTGCACAGAAATAAAATCATTCAGTTTCTCCATTCTAAACCCTTGGTCCCTCCATGCCTTGGCTTATGTTTTGGGTGGACTGACTCCTGATTTTTTTTTTTTTTTTAAGGATTTCAACGTTTATTCATTTTTGGGACAGAGAGAGACAGAACATGAACGGGGGAGGGGCAGAGAGAGAGGGAGACACACAGAATCAGAAACAGGCTCCAGGCTCTGAGCCATTAGCCCAGAGCCTGACGCGGGGCTCGAACTCACGGACCGCGAGATCGTGACCTGGCTGAAGTCGGACGCTTAACCGACTGCGCCACCCAGGCACCCCTCCTGATTTTTTATATATGCTTACTACCTCACAGTCCTTCTTTTCCCTCCTAATTCTTCCTCATCTCATTGGTCTGTTTCTGTCCTTGGTCATAAATTAAGTCTTTAATAAACTATTCATTTAGAAAAGCAAGGCCTTTTAAGACATCTTAAATTCCACTCTGTGACCAAGATGAACTTACAATGAGAAATAAATAAAAAAAGTAAAGCTTTGGGATGTATCTTACACAAACAATAAATTGAGCTCAGGATCTCAGGTCAGTCATGAATCAGTCTTAGACAAATTACTTAAAATGGCGATTTTCTCACCTATAAAATGAGAAGATTGAAGTAGGTGATCTAAGTCTTCTTCCAACCCAATTTGCTGAAATAAGTTCTAGAACACACAACTGTTAGGTAAGTGTCTAGGATATTACACAAGCAGATACAGCTAAATTTTCATTCAACAAATTTGTGCCATTCACCATCAACAAAGTACTTAAGCTGAGGATATAGAGGATACGAGAGCTGCTTCTGTCTAGTTTTATAACTTAGAAAAAGGAAATCCTCTGTATTAAAATGACCATTATAGAAAATACAGTGACTGTTTGCTATTTCCACTGAAATATTAAGGGGAGGGGATGAGTTTAAAATATTTAAAATTTAGAATATTAAAATAACCTCACAAAATTAATTAAATTTCTGGATGAGCTACTGAGGCAGCTCCTTAAAATTCTTTTCACATAGCACTTGATAATTTTAATATCTTTCAACAAGAATAATTTGCCTAAAATTGAAGGATGGATTAAATATCTTTTCTAATGAAGAGACAGACAGATACACCCTAGAATGCAGGATGAAGAAAATGGAGCTTACCTGTCATTTATGTGGCTGAAAGTTTTTCTGTTTATTTTGAGAAAGAGTATGTGTGTGCATGATCAGGGGAGGCGCAGAGATAGAGGGAGAGAGAGAGAATCCCAAGCAGGCTCCCTGCTATCAGCAAAGAGCCCGATGCGGGGCTTGATCTCACAAGTCATGAGATCATGACCTGAGCCAAAATCAAGAGTCGGACCCTTCACTAACTGAGCCAGTCAGGCACCCCACCATTAATATTTTCTTAATGTAATTCTGAATAATTAGGCCCAATTGGTTTACTCCTCATGACCTATAATCTCAGCCTATTTGGATTTTATAAATGTATTTTCGGAGGAAAACAAAAATTTCAAGGTTAATGCAATTCTAATAAAAGCCACCTTTTTTGGTAGAAATTGATAGACTAATTCCAAAATTTATATGACAGAGGAAGAAAGCTAGAATAGCCAAAATTATTTTGAAAAAATAGTACAAAATAATTTACCTTGGCATTTATTATTATATTTCACCCCACTGTGTTGTGTTAATGATGGGCTACTAACTTGCATAAGCACTGTTTTCTTTGGACTAATAATGATTTAGGTCTACTGTTATTTTTTTCTTTTAGTAAGTTGTAGGCTTATGTATTTTTTTCAGGTTAATGAAGCATAATTTGTATTCATTAAAATTCACCCTTTTTAAGTGTACTGTTTGATTATGCAATCAGGCTTCTCCCACTAGATCTTAATAACCAATGGTCTGATTTGGGTTTCCATAGCTTTTTTTTTTCTAGAATGTCATGTAAATGGAATCATACTGTATGTAGCCTTTTCATCACTTAGCATAATACTTCTAAGACTCATCTATGGGGGGGCTTGGGTGGCTTTGTCGGTTAAGCGCCTGACTTTGGCTCAGGCCATGATCTCAGTTCTTGAGTTCGAGCCCCATGTCAGGCTCTGTGCTAACAGCTCAGAGCCTGGAGCCTGCTTTGGATTCTGTGTCTCCCTCACTCTCTGCTCCTCCCCCACTCGCACTCTGTGTGTGTCTCTTTCTCAAAAATAAACAACCATTTAAAAAAAAAAAAAAAGACGTATGTTATTGCATAGATCGGTAGTTTGTCTCTGTATTAACTTGGCTAGGCTAATTTATGTTTCCCAAAATTTTCTTTCTTACATACCCTTAGGGTAAACCACAAGGCACACTGTTTGTTTTTGTTTTAAGTTTATTTGGGGGGGAGGGGGGAGGTAGAGAGAAGGGGGGTGGAGAGAGGGAGAGGGAGAGGGAGAGGGAGAGGGAGAGAGACAGAGAGAGAGAATTTCAAGCAGGCTCTGTGCTGTCAGCACAGAGCCCAACACAGGGCTCAATTTCACAAACTGTGAAATAATGACCTGAGCCAAAATCAAGAGTCAGAGGCTTAACCAACTGAGTCATCCAGGTGCCCCACAAGACACATTTTAAAGTGAAATTTGAAGGGCAGAAGTGAAGAGGCAGTGATCTCATTTCTTATGCAGGCACTTTTGTAGCTTGAACATGGGGTAACTTACCTGCTGGCTCAACTTTTGGGGTGGGACAACAGTCTGACCTACATTGTTTCACCTTTCCTTGGATCCTCCTTCAGCTTCTTGGACTCCTGGGCCAGGTGTGTGTTTAGCAACCTGGCAAAAGGCAACTTTTCACACAGGATACACACATCGTCAAAGTTGGGAGACAGTAAGAAGTGACACAGGTCTCAGTGTCAACTGCCTACCATGTGAACTTTAACTCCAGCATTAGATGCAAACAATAGACTCACAGAGACTGCTTAACAAACTCCAACGTGTAACAGCAAATCCCTGTAAACAAATCACTATACAAACATGTATACATGTATGCCTGCAAATATCCTAGTAGTTCTGCTTCTCTGACTGAACTCTGATACAATTCTTTTGTATAACCGAGTAAATAAATACCTACCATACGGATGTACACCTTGTTTATCCATTCACCAGCTGATGGACATTTGGCTGTTTTCAGCGATCTAGTTTGGGATCATGAATAAAGTTGCTATAAATGTTCACAGACACAGGTCTTTGTGTGAACATATTATTTCAAAACATGGTATTTATAAATACAAGAAATAGCTAAAAGAGTTCAATATGTTTGCCACTGGAGGTGGAAAGGGGCACAGAGGGGTCCGATGTTGATGTTTTACATTTTAGATCTTTCTAACCATGATTTAAAAAAAAAAAAAATACACTGAATTGTACACTTTCAAAGAGTGAATTTTATGCCATGTGAATTATATTTCAACACAAAAGTATAAAAGTATATGATAATACAATAAACAGATCCCACCAACTTATAATCTAATGTCAAGTTTTATTTACCTTTTTTCTTACATTATGCTGTCATCCAAAATATACCTTATAAGTAATTCATGCATACAGTAGGCACTCTATAAATATTTTGATTTAATAATTAGGTATTTTTTAGAATGACTAAAAATCCTGATGTAAAATCCCAACTGGGAAGTGCATAATCCCATTGTAGACAAAATATATAACTTTACAATAAACATTTTTATAAGAATTTGCCCCAAAGAGGGAACACTTACAACTTGGAAATTAAAAAATACAAAGTAAAAAGCAAGATGAAGCATAATACTAATATATTTAGACAATGACCCCCCGGACCAGTGGGGCTTACAGACCTAGGGTTACCTGCACCCTGTGGCCTTAACACCATCTGAAATTCAGTTAAGAAGATAATTATATACCTAATAACCTCTTAACTGGAAATGCTGCAAGAAAATACAAGCAATAGCCTGTGAAACTTTTTTAACTACATCCCTCACATGAACGCAGGAAAAAAATTTTTACTACATATCTTATTCTCCAATTTAAGAAAATCAAGGCTTTTTATCTTAAGCAGTAAGAGTGATCCACAAATAAGCAAGAAGTCACTTTTATAGAAGCTATGTTAAATTCTGTGGAAAATACTTTGGGAGATTAGTTCAAGAACCTTAGTCCAAATATAAATAAATCCTCGCATTAAAGGGTCTTCCAATTTACAAAAACAAAACACGCTGTGACCACATATGATAAAGTATCTTCTAAATCCTTATTTTGGGTTAGCTTTATAACTATGAACAGTCACTTCAAACTGAAAAATGAAAAAGACTGTAGTACTATTATGATAAAGAAAAATTAAAAGCCACCAAATGCCTAACCTTAGTGAAATACCTGTGCAAACCTATAAACATACTCAAATACTCTATTTCTATAAAATGAAAAGTCTACTGACTATATCTTTCAAAAACTATATAATTCCATAAAAATTTAAATATATAGACTATACCAATACATGGAAATGTATATATAAAATACTATTAAGTGAAAAAAACCAAAAAATATAAAGTGAATACAACCATGTAAAAGTAAATATATTACAATAACAAAAACTGTGAAGTGACTTAAAATTTATAGAGACATAAACAGATTTAAATATCCATTAGAGGTTTTTCTTTGTTACTTAAGATTATAACAAAATAAAAAAAAATAGACTATTATTTTAGATTAAACTATACTCCTAAACAATAAATACTGAACTAATGTGAACTCCTAAAACAGAGATTTTAAAAACCATGACTTAACTATATTTCAAGTGTATCCTATGGATGGAGACCAGCCCACATTTGCTGATCTTCACTTTACAAAACCTTCTGGCAATGTGCACAATTATAACTGCCCTTCTTAAACATAAAAAGAAAAAAATTTAAAGCACTGTTCAAGTAAGAAAACCAAGCAGCATGCTAACAAAATCTATCTACTTAATCTGTTTTGCACCTGCAAAAAAGCTACTAATAGAGGGTTTTAAAAAACTAATCCTATATACATATTTTACATAATATATTTATGCTATAAATATTTTAAAGAATGGCTTTTACATAATTCTTCATTTTAATTCAATATATATCTTACTGATTTAATTGCAAATTATGCAAATCCAATCTTTCAGATTTATTACTGAAAATTATTCTCTACATGGTTTAGAAAATGGTTAATTTCTTGGGTAAAACATAGCATATTTAGAAGTCCGAAAGCCAAGTAAATCCCTTATTTCATTTCGGAATTTTGAAAGATCTTGGCGTAGTTCATTTAGATTTTCCACGGTTGCCTGATCTGTACTTTGCATCTTCTGTCTCATGGATGTCAAGTAACGATGCACTAGGCAGCACATCACTTTTTGGTAGTTTTCATCTCTCTTTTGTTTCAAATTTCTCCATTCCTTCAAAACAAACAATTATATGATACAATTTTATAAACAATATTTAAATGAGGTGAATTTTTAAGATTTTTCACAGATACAAACACATGTTTTATTGGGCTATATTTTTGGGACTATATGTTACAAAATAATATTCATCACTTGTTTAAAACAGATACAGCCTGCCTATTTGTTTTATTCATTCACCTATATGCTTCTCTGGATTTAAAAATATTCTTAGGAATCCTCAATTTATAGGAAGGATTAGCAAACTACAACCCACAGGACAAGTATGTCCTGTTTCCTATTTTTTAATGGCCTGTGAGCCAAGAGTAGTTTTTTACAGATGAATATTTATAATTAATTTGATGATAGGGAATACTGATTTTGAGACCCAATTAAACAAAATGTTATTCCCCCCCAAAATGGAATTCCATTCTTTTCATTAGATCTATATTACAAAAAATTATTAAATTATTACTCAATTAATGTTACATTTTAAATTTCACCAATAAAAATTTTGTGGAAATTTGTGTTCTTTCTTGTTATATTACTTATTATAGTCATAAAGTATTTTTGATTTTGTCTCAGTCTGCTAAGTCCAAAAGATTTACTAATAGGCCCTTTAAAGAAAAGTTTGCCAACCTCTGGTTTATAGCAACATGAACTGAATTATTCATGTAATGAATAACTTTCAAGAAAAACTAGAAAAATGAGATGGCTTCAGTAGTCAATCTTTATGCTGACAGAATTGGCATTCTAAATATTTCCCATGTTTTAAAACTTGAGACAAGATTTCATAAAAAAAAAAAAAATCATAGCTCTATCTCTCACATATTGAATCCTTACTTTATGTTAGATACTATGCCATGCATTAGGGATATAGGAGTAAAAAAAAAAATCAGACAGTCCCAGGCCTTAAGGAGCCTGCATATTTACACTCTAGGAAACATCAGTGATTAGGAATTGTTAAAATTTCCAAGTTGCAATTTTAATATCTTACCTTTAAACTGTTTTGCCGTTTAACCTTGCCTTTTGATGTATGAGAGCAAATCCACTTACTGAGGCTACTAATCATATAGCAAATAGTCTTTGGTGAAGGAATAATATTGAAAGGTGGGGGTAATGTACATTTGTCATCAAAGTAGCTAAGCCACAACTTTGCTCGAGCAAACTTCCATTCCTTGTCTTCATGATTCTGTAAGAGCCAAATGAAAAAGCAACACAGAATGTGAACACACACACACACACACAGGGGAGGGAAGGGCAAAGGAGAGAGAGATGTGGGGCGGGGATATCATTTTACATGGTCCAAATGTTTGATGTCCAAATGTTTACACAGCTTGTAGGTAAAAATTTGGTTCAAGAGTTGTAGTTAATATACATTACTTACATTTAAAAAATCTATATTTAGGGGCGCCTGAGTGGCTCAGTTGGTTAAGCATCCAACTTCAGCTCAGGTCATGATCTCGCGATTCAGGAGTTCGAGCCCTGTGTCAGGCTCTGTGCTGACAACTCAGAGCTTGGAGCCTGCTTCAGATTCTGTGTCTCCCTCTCTCTCTGACCTTCCCTCACTTGTGCGCTCTCTCTCTCTCTCTCAAAAATAGATAAAAACGTTAAAAAGTTTTTTTAATCTGTATTTAATTTTAAAATAATACTAATCCTTAATTCTTATAATCTTTGGCTGCCTTATCTACTACATACATTTGTTATGATCTGAAAGAATATAAAGTTTTTACAAGAATGAATACTTACTGCTATCAACTGAAAGCTTTTATGAAGCATTGCCACCAGCAGCTTGGTAAGCACGATCACAACCACGACATTGTATGTCCCAACAATAACAGCTCCAACAAAGGACTGCAATTCTTCTCCATAACTAAATCTTGTGACAAAGATTGCCACATGTGCTAAGGAGAAAATATACCAGAACAAAGCAAAGCAAGTGCCAATGAACCTGTAAAGACAATTACATTTCTGTTTAAAAGAAAATTAAAGCACTTAATTAGCAAAAATGAAGAACTCATTCATATTAACATTCCATAAGTAAAACATTGATAATCCAAGAATACATTTTAAAATGAATGAGATTGAACCCAACAGTTTACATGTCTTAAACAAAGAAATACACTTAAAGGGATAAATTATTTTGTTTAACCTCCTACTGCTTTTGTATTATCAACATAGCAGCCTCTAAGACCCTGTTTGTGCCTAATTAGATGTTGCCACTCCTCTGCTTAAAAACTTCAAATGGCTCTCAATCTCAAGAGCCCAAAGTCCTTACAAAGATCACAGATCAACAACATTCTACATGATCCTCATTACCTTTTGGACCCCATCTCTTACAACTTGCCCTCATTCACTACATTCCATCCACAGTGGCCTCCTGGTTTTTCCTTGAACAGCCAGCCACACTCCCATCCCAGGGCATTTGCCTTTGCCATTCCTTGGATCGGTGAATGCTCTTCCTCCAACTATCTTCTTCATGGCTTGATCCTTCATCAACTTAGTATCTTTACCTGAATGTCATCTCTTGCGAGGCCTTCCCTAGTGTATTTAAAATTGCAACCTCTCACACATAGGGAGAAGCCTGGCCAAGCTTTGTCTCTTTGGTCCTTTTTATTGTGTAATATATATTTTATTTCTCTTTTTATTGACTATATCACCTCACTGTAATATAAACTCTATGAGGCAGTTTTGCTCACTGGTACTTCATTCACTCAGTACTTTGAACAGTGTCTGTTATATAGAAGGTGTTAAATAAATACTTATTATTCATTTAATCTTAAATAAGATGACATCCAAGTATCTAAAGAATAGTTGGTACATAACAAACACAACAAATACCTAATTCCACACCCCTTCTCCATTATGCTACTTAAAAATGAGGGGAGGTATTTTGTCTGCCTCACAACTGGTTGTTTAAGTTCTTATGATACAGTAAATTAGAGAAAAAAATTGTTTATGAAGCTGTAATGATTCTCAATTCTATTGACCTCCTACTGAAGTGTTGAAAATATGAGAGATGGTTTTGCCTGTAACAATAATGGACAGTTGCTGACATTTAATTTTTGAAAAGTATGGGGTGCTGGGTGGCTCAGTTGTTTAAGCATCCAACTTCGGTTCAAGGTCATGATCTCACATTTCGGGATTTCGAGCCCTGAGTTGGGCTCTGTGCTGACAGCTCATTGCCTGGAGCCTGCTGCAGATGCTGTGTTTCCCTCACTCTTTGCCCCTCCCCTGCTCAGGCTCTGTCTCTCAAAAATAAATAAATGTTAAAAAAATTTTTAATAAAAAAATATGTGAAGAGCAGAGACATCTTGCAATACGCAGGACTGACAGAAAACTGTCCGGCCCCAAATCCTCACAGTGTACAAAATGCCAAGAACTCCTCTGTTAAGACAAGCAGCAGGGGAAACAATGTAATATCGTGGGCCTGTTAATTGCTTAAGATTCTATTTATGTAAGTAAAACTACAACATGATTAATGAAAAAGTAAGTATTTATTAAAAAGGAATGTCTTAAAGAAAATTTGAAGTTCTATTTCTATAGGTACTAATTCATATATAATACAATAGAGAGAAATATATTTACTAAAAATTTAAAAAGACACTCACGAATGGAAGGTATCATTACTTTGCTGTTCACAGAAGATGCCCACACAGTCCTTCTGTTCTTTTGGGGTATAGCCTTTATCATACAGTTGTGTCAGTCCAATTGTGAAAGAAAACAAAACAAGAAGGAACATCCCAAGAAATTTTCCAAAATCTTGTAACATCTGTCCCATTGAAATCTGTGGAATATATTATATAGGTGTTCATTAAAATTATCAGGAAAACAAAATATTAAGTATTAAATGACCAGGCAATAAAAGTAAAACAAACATATGATTCCTTTTATTCCATCTGGTTAAGATAGTTCCATACTTTTAAGACATCAAAAGTCTCACTGACAAACAAAAAGCCATTCTAGGGGCGCCAGTGTGGCTCAGTTGGTTAAGCTACCAACTCTTGATCTCAGCTCAGGTCTTGTTGTCAGGGGTGTGAGTTCAAGCCCACGCTGGGCTTTGTACTAGGTGTGAAGCCTACTTTAAAAAAAATAAAAATAAAAAAAAAGGTTGTCTGGGTGGTTCAGTTGGTTAAGCATCTGACTTCAGCTCAGGTCATGATCTCGCAATTCATGGGTTCTAACCCCATGTCCGGCTCTGTGCTGACAGCTCAGAACCTGGAGCCTGCTTCAGATTCTGTGTCTCCCTCTCTCTCTGCCCCTCGTCTGCTCACACTGTCTCTCTCTCTCTCTCTCTCTCAAAAATAAGTAAACATTAAAAAAAAAAAAAAGCCATCCTAATCATGCCAGCACCGTTAGTGTTGGATGGCACATTTCTTGAATCTGGACCAGGTCTGCAGAGGACACTGCTGGGAAGAAGTAAGAGGCTGAGACATGGAGATTTAAGAAAAGGCCTAATTTGCAAGGAATAGAAGGAAAATTCCTTGCTCAAGCCTAAAGGGAAATAAACGCTTATGTTTTTTATGGCTTCTTAAAGTTTACAACTATAAAATCATATGACATAAAGTATTTAATTTGCTTTTTGTGACCAATTCTAAACCAATTCTCCAAAGATAGCATTTCCTCCTCTAGGACTGCCCTAATCTTTTTTTGCCAAGGAGGTCAATTTTCTTTCATTTTAGGTCAATTGTAAGAAAATATGTGTGCAAACCAGATGAATAGGTCTAATTAACATGGGTATCTTTTGTAATGCAGTCACATGTAGTGTGTCTGGGAGCTTTATTCAAGCCTAATTTCATTGTCCTCCAATACTCTTTCAAAATCTGGGTGATAGGTACTTTTCATAAATTCTTGGTATTTAAATTAGCATACAAATTTGGAGAATAATTTGACATTATCCTTTTGACCCAACAATTCTATCCCTTGGCATTTAGCCAATAGATAGGAAATATGCAAAATGCACGTATATACATGGGTTTTCACTGCAGCACTGTTAGAGGTCACAAAAAAATTAGAACATCTTAAATGTTGTTAAAAAGAATGAAGTACATCTATATGTGCTGGTGTAGAAAAATGTCTATAAAATATTAAGTCAAAAAAGCTGGGTATAGAACAGTATTCTAACAGATCCCATTTCTATTTCTTTTTTTTTTTTTTTAATTTTTTTTTTCAACATTTATTTATTTTTGGGACAGAGAGAGACAGAGCATGAATGGGGGAGGGGCAGAGAGAGAGACGGAGACACAGAATCGGAAACAGGCTCCAGGCTCCGAGCCATCAGCCCAGAGCCTGACGGGGGGCTCGAACTCATGGACTGCGAGATCGTGACCTGGCTGAAGTCGGACGCTTAACCGACTGCGCTACCCAGGCGCCCCTCTATTTCTTTAAAGTATAAATCAGATATATATTTCGTATAGATAGGATTTAATACGCACAGTACATTTCTGGAAGTTTACACAAGAGACTGTTTAATAGTGCTTAAATACGGAAGGTAGGACTTGGGGTTGGAAGGCAGACTTTCTTCCTTTGAATTTTCTTTACTGTATGCATTTTTTTTTTTTTTTGCATTTATTACTTATACAAAAAATAGGGTTTAAAAATAACCCTTCCTCAAAACTTACCAGATCAATTTTACAGTTAATTAAATCCAGCCTCAAATAAAATGTCTAACTGCCTCAAACCTACCAAAATAAAATATGCCACTTACCACTGATACAAAATGGTAGTGACATTGAGCAAGTGGCCAAACCTCTCTAACCCACTAAAGTGAGCCAGCCAATTAAGTAAAAGAGGGGTGCTAAAATTTTTTAGGCACACCACAGCCTGGTAAACTGGACTCTGCAACAGTGAAGAGGTCCAATATGCATGGCTTGCACATTTGACTAGGCCATGTAGTACCTTTTGGAGTCTTGTGCTTCCCTCACTTCCCACTGCAAAATTTTGAGAGAAGAAATAGGGAGCTTTTAAACTCAGCAAGCTTTACATGTGTGAGAAAGAGAAGAAATACATTTCCTTCTTAATCAATGATAGCTTTATACCGAAGTACCTTGGAAAGAAATCATTTTTAATGTTTATTTTTGAGAGAGAGAGAGAGAGAGAGAGAGAGAGAGAGACTGAGACAGAGCAGGAGTGGGGGAAGGGCAGAGAGAGAGGGAAACCCAGAATCCGAAATAGGCTCTAGGCTCTGAGCTGTCAGCACAGAGCCCGATACAGGGCTCAGAGACTGACGTGGGGCTCAAACCCACAAACGTGAGATCATCACCTGAGGTGAAGTCAGACACTTAATCCACTGAGCCACTCAGGCGCCCCTACTGGAGATTTATCCTTAGGAGATAATTTAAAAGAGGCAAAGACCCTACATACAGAGCACTGTGTAGAAGAGCAAAAACATGCCAAATATCTGATAGGGTGAAGGCTGGTATCGTTAGGGTTCATATCATGTGTTAAATTATAAAACTTGCTGAAAAAATGAAGCAATAATAATGACAACTTCTAGTCATTCTCCTTCCAAATCTTCCTCCAGAAAAAACCATAATTACCTGTCTAAAAATTCTATCTGATCAAGCCATTCACACTCAAAACCTCCTTTGCATGTATGATAATATTCAAATTCCTGGCACAGAGGCCTTCAGAGTCCAGCCCAGTCTATTTTTTTCAGCCTCATCTTCCCAAATGCCACCCACTGTCCAAATACGAAAGACATCCTGTCTTCTCTAAGCACGCCATGCTTTTATGACTTCATGTTTCTGTACATGTAACTTTGTTCTTTGCCAGGAAAGCTTTTTATCCCTTCAAGGCCCAGTTCAAATGTCACCTTTTCTAAGAAGCTGTCCAGATTCTCTCCAAGCACCCCCTCATTATGCTCCAAAGTACTTTGTCCATTATCTCTAAAATCATATTTTTCACTTTATACCAATATTTACGTTTGTCTCTTCTAGCAGGCTGTAAGAGCAGGCACCATATCAATAAGCTTCAAAGCCCAGCATATTAGCTTCAAAGCCCAGCCCAGCACATAGTTACTTTTTATATGCCTTATTATATAACTCTCTACCATTTTCCAAGAGGTATCACGTATTTTTATTTATCCTGTAGGATCAGAAAGGCTAGTATTATCTCTTTTTCCAAGTGACAAACTGAAGCTCAGAGAGATTGTGACTTGCTCAGGGTAACAGAATAGATGGCAGAGGTAGAATTCAATTCTTGCTTCTAACTCCTTGCAAGAGCTTTTCTGAAACATCACTTTGTGATTTTTATCTTAGCTCTCCCATTAAAAATTTGGGGCTGTGCCACTCTGGAAAACAGTGTGGACGTTCCTCAAAAAATTAAAAACAGAACTACCCTAAGACCCAGCAATTGCACTACTAGGAATTTATCCAAGGGATACAGGAGTGCTGATTCATAGGGGCACATGTACCCCAAAGTTTACAGCAGTGCTTTCAACAATAGCCAAATTATGGAAAGAGCCTAAATGTCCATCAACTGACAAATGGAAAAAGAAGATGTGGTTTATATATACAATGGAATACTACCTGGCAACGAGAAAGAATGAAATCATGCCATTTGCAGCAACATGGGTGAAACTGGAGGGTATTATGCTAAGTGAAATAAGTCAGTCAGAGAAAGACAGGTTATCATATGTTTTCACTCATATGTGGATCTTGAGAAACTTAACAGAAAACCATGGGGGAAGGAAAGGGGGGAAAGTAGTTACAAATAGGGAGGGAGGGAGGCAAACCAGAAGAGACTCTTAAATACAGAGAACAAACTGAGGGTTGATGGGAGGGTGGGGGAAAGGGGAAAGTGGGTGATGGGCATTGATAAGGGCACTCGTTGGGATGAGCACTAGGTGTTGTATGTAAGCCAATTTGACAATAAATTATATTTAAAAAATTGGGGGCTGTGTGCAATTAAGGATTTCATTCTCATGTAATGAGCTTATTGAATTAATACATGAATAAATATCCAAAAAAGATGTAACTATTAACATTTCACACCAAGTCTTTTTTTCTAACATTGTGTGAGCTGGGCCATAGTTTCCTGACCTATAAAAGGGATGGTCATATGCTACATCAAACTCACTCATCTACATGCTATTAAAACTTGGCCAGATTTTATGCCAATCTATTTAATCAGCATCTCTGAGGGCAGGACTTAGATATACAGATTTGATGTGCAACCCTAGTGATTCTGAGTCCCACCAACCTGGGAACTCCTAGACTAATGACCTCTAAGTTTCCCTCTAAGTGTAACATTTATGCTTCCAAAGAAAAATGTCCATCCCCAGTATACCCTAAAATGCAAGGCACTTTGAAATGAAATCACCCTTTACTCACTGCAAATGACAACAATATGCCATTTATGTGATACAGAACACTAAATTAAATCTATTAATTATCCAGTAAAGCCAAATGATTCACTATGAATAAAGTATGCGTTTATGTGTCAGATGCTACACTTATTTTCCAAGTTTCTTTGTATTATTTTTCAGATTTGCGACAGTTAACTCCACTAACTATAAAGGAAATGAAGAAACAGCTCTAATGATTTATGTAAAGTTCATCATGTGTCAGGAAACCTGCTATGAGATGCATCTTATATATACTGACCCATTTAATCCTCACAACAATGACACAGAACCTGAGACTCACAGAGATGAGTAACAGTAACAGTAAGTTACAGAGCAAAATTTGAACCCAGTTGGTTGGTTCTGTCTTGTTCTTTCTGTCTAATGACCCAACTACAAGTGCTTAATTCATCTGAAACATGTGGATAAATCAGGAAGAATTT